GAAAGGAAATCACTCTCTGAAAATAAACTACTTCTAAAGTTTCTTTAAGCATCATATCTTTTTTTTCCTGTGTCTCTCAGCACGTTTCTCTCCTGATCTAGTTTTTGTCTTTCTTCATTGCTGTCAAATCACCTTTAAAACAAAATCTTTTTCTGCCACATAAATCAGACTATTTTAAGATTCATAACTTTTAGAAAACATAGTGTTTTTATAATTCTCACTCTTTTACATCACAAAAAGAAGCATCCACTTCAGAAATTTTGGTAAATTAAATTCTATTTTGACAAATATATAGGAGGAAGTCAAGGTTGTTGGATATATAGAGGCAAACTTATGGCAGGGGCAATTTGACTGTTTATATTACTCCACTCTGATATCTGATGAATGAGCTACCAAGGTTTATTAGTTGTGACACCAGAGTCCCTAATGAGTTGTATTCCTTGATTCACGTAAAGTTATTGACAGAGTTCAGGGCATATACTACATAGTTATTCATAATTGGCAATTATACCCATTTAAATTCCATTTGTTGTTGTTAAAGTAAATTCTCTTGACTAGATTTTCCAAATACAAAAGTAGTTAACTTTATGCTCTGCCATCTTCAATTTATTTGTTTTAATAATCCTGGAGCTATTTTACCAAGAACTTGGGGCAATGCTAGCAAGACATTCAAGCTGGAATTCCTAAAAATCTATTATATAAGAAAACTTAAAAGAATTTGATGAGGAAAACTCAAAAGATATATTAACTGTTAAATTATTTGTAAAGTGACAGTGACCAGTGATAGAAGTGGTCAAGATCTCCAAGAAAGGTACAGCTCTCTGCAAACAAACAAAAAAAATTAGAAATGGAAAGGGGAGAGTATCTTTGAAAGTACCTAGATTTGAAAAGAAAAATTATTTAAATGAAAATGATTGCAAGACCTGTGTAAAAAGGCTGTATTATCACAACTTGTGCTGCAAGAGTGACGTGAAACATGAACATGTTGTGAGAGGTTTCTGTTTTTTTTTCTTTTTCTAGTATTTGGGGGAAGTCAGAAGTCAGATCTCTAGGAGTAGATTGCCTTTATTCTTAAAAGAGATTTGTGAATAGTGATAAAAGGAATATTTTCATAAAGTTGTGAGTTTCTAGTCACATGATTTAGCCATGTAGAATGTGAATAACCATCTATGAATAAGTAATAGAGAGGATTGATCCAAACAAATTTGGATTTTCCAACACATAGTCTTAAAAACATTTTCTTATTTTACTACTGTATGATTCCTATGCATTAAACGAATAAGGTAGAAATGTGAATATGTAGGAAGATTCATGATGTCTTCCTGAGGTGTATTCATTCCAGAAATATTTACTGTAGAACTACTTTTAGTCCGATTCTATTACAAAAATTGTGGATTCAGCGGCAAACAATATGAATAATAAATGTAGTTTAATGGAATGTACATGAAAGTTGGCAGTTATCAGAAAATACATGAGTCAAATCACAAATTAATAGCATAGCTTGGATATTAATACTTAATCTAAAGCATATGAAAAGAACAGGATGCAAAACTTTGAGAAATGGAATTATACTTTTATATGGATGGTTAAGATAAATCTTTCTGGAACATTATTTTCATCCGATTTATGCTGCCATAACAGAATACAGCTGTTATTCTGTAATGTATGTGGAAATGAAATTTACCACAGTTCTAAAGTCTGGGAAGTCCAAGATTGAGAGACCAGCATTTTGTAAGGGCCTTTTTGCTGTGGCATTCCGTGGCAGAAAGCGAAAAAGTAAGAGAGGGAAAGAGAGAAAAGGGAACAAAGCTCACTGTTTTATAAGGAATCCTATATGAAGATAATGGCATTATTTCATTCACAGTAGAGTCCTTATGCTTCCAACACATGATTTTGAAGGGACACATTCAAACCACAGAAAACAATGACACAGCTTGAAAATTAAAAGACAGCATTGAAGGCAATCGTGGAATGAGCTGTAGGGAGAACGTTTCCAGCTGTGGAATCCGTACACGCAATGTTCCTGAGCTTCGTGTTTTCAGAAATGAAAGGGGCCGGGAGCGGTAGCTCATGGCTGTAATCCCAGCACTTTGGCAGGCTGAGGTGGGTGAATCAACTGAAGTCAGGAGTTCGAGACCAGGCTGGCCAGTGTGGTGAAACCTGTCTGTACTAAAAGTAGAAAAATTAGCCTGGTATGGTAGCGGGCGCCTGTAATCCCAGCTACCCAAAGGCTGAGGCAGGCATATCGTTTGAACTCGGGAGGCGAAGGTTGCCGTGAGCCGAGATCGCTCCACTGCACTCCAGCTTGGGAGACAGGAGCGAAATCCATCCCCCCCAGCAAAAAAAAAAAAAAAAAAAAAAAAAAAAATTGAATGAAGGCCAATGTACTAGGTAGTCATAAGTCAAGCAGAGCATTGTAGAAGTTTGGTGCGGCAATGACAGAACTATTAAAGACTAGAGATAGGACATGTCTGCAAGGATGAAAAATACTGGAGAAGTGGCAATCAGAGTAGGCTAAGCTTTTATTTTTAAAGATATAAGAGATACCTAACTGATGCAGGAGGGTTGTTGAGGTACAAATTAGGGATTCAGATCAGAGTTAATATCATACCCCTGATTCCTGTCATCTCTAAAGCAATCATCTGAGAAATAAAGATTGTTTAGGCAGAAAGGGAGAGTAATGAAAATTTGTATCATTTTCTCAGGAAGTGCTAAAGGATTTTAAAAATTACACATTTTCAATCTCCAGTTAGAATAAATGCATACATTAAACAAACATTTATTAAGCACTTACTATCTCTGAAATTAAAGACTAGGCACTGGTAATATAAAGTATAAAATATGTAATCTACATTAGTTAATACTTGTATAAGAGATAGCACCACTAAAATTTCCATGAGTTTCTAGTAGTTCCCATCAACATAAACTTAAAAATATATGCTATAAGTCATAGTCATATAAATTACAATAAATGTCTTCATTTTATTCTCTTCCATTAATAACAAAATCTGTAGTATGTGCACTTTGGAATTCTCCATTAATAATAGTGTGGAAAGTAATGCATAACCATGAATTGGCCTCAGGCCTATAATTTGCTCTGTTGACAAGCATAGAAACTGATAATGCAGAGTGAATCACAGACATTATCTTGAATTAATGCAGCTGCTTGCTGTTATATGCAATTATTTGTATTCAGTTCCTTCACTCAGACCCGTTAAAATATGTAAAAACATATGGAGTTTTCTTTAATCTTCAAGGTCAATATGTGCAATGCCAATAAACATTAATATAATGTATAGATAAAAATATATGACTAATTTTGAACTCTGATGCCTTGCAAATTAAGCATACTCTTTGTCAGCTAAAGTGATAATAAATGTCGAATGCTTTGTGGGAATATACATCTCCATTTATCTTTCTCTGGATCAATAATAAATGGTTAGCCAAAACATTCCAAGACCTCCTAATTATATTGTTGAATTAATTAGTGTGCAATAAAAATGTTTATACTTCCATATAATTCATTGTTATATTTTGACTTACACTGTGTAAATTGTTATTTAAATATTTTTCCATCTTAGAAATGAGCCTACATAATACATTTTTTTGTTACTAAATATGCCCCAAGTAATCATTTCCTGGCATCTTTTTTTTTTTTTTTTGTATTGCCAGATTCCTCCTCACCATCTGTTTATCCAAAACTGTAAAGGTATAAGAGATAAAGTAATATTTTTAACTTACTAAAGAGCAATATTGATTTTGGCAATCAATATTTTGCCAAACAAATTCTTGAATGTTTAACTCCAGAACTCTCTTCTGTGGTTCACTGGTTCTGATTTTAAAATAGACACTAAGATTTTAATAACATTAGGCAATTCAAATTTTTCATGCACATCATTTGATTAAATTATACCTTTATCTAATAGAATATAAAAAATAAAAATTAAAAGCCTAATTTTTCTCCCACATGTACTTTCTCTGTCAAAACCTTCACTAGCTATATAACAATTGCCACCACAAAGCTAAAAGTCATTTCTGTTTCTCTTGATTACATTTTATTCAACAAATTAATTGATCCAGGGCTGAATAGAAATTTAGAATGTTTGGCCAAATGCATTTTTTTTTGAGAGAGAGAGTCTCATTCTGTTTCCCAGGCTGGAGAGCAGCAGCATGATCACAGCTCACTGCAACTTCTGCCTCCCAGGTTCAAGGGATTTGCCTGCTTCAGCCTCCAGAATAGCTAGGACTACAGGCACTTGCCACCATGCCTGGCTAATTTTTTGTATTTTTAGTAGAGACAGGGTTTCACTGTATTAGCCAGGATGGTCTCAACCTGACCTCACGATCTGCCCGTTTTGGCCTCCCAAAGTGTTGAGATTACAGGCATGAGCCACCGTACCCAGCCTAAAATGCATTTTAAGTTATACTTGTCACTAATGCTAGCCTCAGCCTTCTTGAACTCTGCTAATAGTGCCTTACCTTCTACCATTTCCAGCTTTTAATCTATATCTAGCTTTGATTGCTAACTTAATATTACTCAAACAAGAATTAATTTTTGATTTAATAATCAATTTTTGCATATAAATATTCAAGATTCAGTAATTCTCTAAACTATTCGAGTTTGTTTATATGTCTTTGGTGCTGTATTGGAAACCCTGTGTTTAGCATGCTTACTATTATTTCCAATGGGACCAGTCTCTAGGAATTGATTTTCTGACTTATGAGAATGTTTTATTCTTTTTCACTGATTCTTAAAATGGTCTTTAGAGCACATATACAAAGATCACATGGGGTTGGACTTATTAAAAATAATTATTAGATTAGTTTCTAATTGTTGCTGAAATAAAGTATAACAAGATCATTGGCTTAAAATAGTACAAATATATATATTTTAAAATATGAAATTCATACTTTTTAAATCAAGATGTTAGCAGGGTTATGTATTCTTTTAATGGAGGCATTAAGGGAGAATCTTACTTTTTCCAGCTTCTAAAGTCCACCTATTTTCCTTGTTATATGTTCTTTCATCTTCAAACCCAGCAGTGTAGAATCTCCAAATTTATCCTACTTTGTTAATTAAATTATTTTTTCCTAACTCTGCCCATCTTGCTTACCTTTTATAATGACCTTTTGGTTATATTTGGTCTATTCAGATATCCCAGAACAATTTTCCTATCTGAAGGTACTAAACTATGCATGCAAAGTCTTTTGACTATGTAAGGTAATGCAGACATTAGTGGAAGAGTACAGAACATAATAATGGTTGGTGGGACATTATTTTGTCTACCAAAATGATCCTGATAACTTCACTTCACACTATAGAATCAGATTTTTCTGGAGTTTAAATCACAAATATTCATATTTGAAGAGGATGAAAACTTGGAACAAACAGAAAGAAGAGAAAAAGCGAAAAAGGAAATCCTGGTGACATTCTAAGACATAATTTCAATTTATTGTAACAAGTTTCTAGAATTTGGATCCTTCTCCAAGCCGAGTTTTACAAACAAAATACTCAAAATTAATGAAAGATGCTATATCGTTTCTCTTAAAACAAAACTTTCTACATAAATTACTCTTTCTTATCATCTAATCCATATTTAATTTATCTTACCACACTCCAAAAAGCTGTTCACTTTAATACATTAATTTTTTTTGGTCTTGATGGAATGTTATTCTTTCAACATGAAAGTCTATTAAAAAGATATCCATGCAATTTTCAGTGTTACATTGTTTCTGAATTTTTTCCCAATTTTTTTGGAAAAACTTAGTCAAAACCCATGAATACTCTCATATTTAGCACTTGTCTTTAATTTGCTGACAATGTTCATTGTTTAGCTTTCTAATATTCACATTAACTTGGAGAATTCTTAAATATCTAGAATTTTTTCTAGTATCCCTGGTGCCACAAGACATATTACAAGCATTTGAAGTCCTTATACACACCCCACAAATAGCTTAAAAACCAATAATCTTTAAAAATGAGAATAAGTCAGCAAGGTGACAGATAAGGACAAGCCAGGTTATTACCAAACTACTAAAACAACAATTTGGCAACTATCCACAGACAAAAGTAGAAACTTTTGAAAGTTTTTTGACCTACGTAAGAGGTAGTCAAAACCCACTGAAATTCAAGAACAAGAAAAGTTTCTTGAGAAGCCAAGTTCATGCCCCAGTAGCAGGTCAACCACCAGGAACTTGGCTTCAAACCCAGAAGCATCTCTATTCTGCCAGTGGATTCGGCTCCAGTTTCAAATATCTATGGTCCCAAAGGAAGTACTGTGCAAACTGGACATGGTATCTATTTATACCCCTTTTAACAGTCTCAGCCACTGCAGACCTGTTAGAGTTCCATGACCAGGGCCAGCCCTGCTTTAATACTGCCAAAACCAGTCTATAAGAACCAAAAGAAAAGTTTTCTCCTTTAAATTTACAGAAACAATGCAAGAATCATTAAGAGTCAATAAAACACAACACCCAAATGAAAATGAATAAATCTTCAAGAACTGATCCTTAAAGAAATGAATACCCATAAAGTACTTAACAAATAATCATCTTAATGAAGTTTGCTGAGCTGCAAGAGAACACAGACAACTGAAAATATTGTAAAAGATACATGAACAAAATTGAACATTCAGGAAGAAATAGAAATCAGAAAAAAAAAAACAGAAATCCTAGAATGAAAGAATACAATGACTAAACTAGAAAATTCTAAAGAGAGTTTCAATAGAAGAGCTTATTAAACAGAAGAGAAAAGTAACAAAATCAAACATAGGTCTTTTCAAATTACTCAATTAGAAAAACAGAGACAAAAGGAACTCAAAAAAGTAAAGAATGCTACAGTACTTATTGGACATCATAAAGCAGACTAATATAACATTACGGAAGTCCCAAAAGTAAATCAGAGAAGGAGGAAAAAGCAGGTAGAGAAATAATGACCAAAGATGTCTCAATCGAGGCAAATAAATGGATATCAAAATCTTAGTAAGCCCAAATATCTACAAATAAGTTGAACTCAAAAAAAGTCTACACTGAAACATGTTATTACTAAATTTCTAAAATCAAAGAGAGAATTTTGAAAGTAGTGAGAGGAAAATGACTTGTCATATACAAAGTAATGTCTATTAGACTCTCAGTAATTTATCAGCAGAAATCTTGCAGGCCAGGAGAGAGTGGGATAATATATTCAAAACATTAAAATTTAAATTAAAAAGTCCTGCCAACTAAGACTACTTTGCCCAGCAAAATTGTTCTTTAAGAGCATAGAAGTAGATTGCACCAGGTGTGATGGCTCATGCCTGTAATCCCAGCATTTTAGGAGGCCAATATGGGTGGATCAGTTGAGGCCAAGAGTTTGAGACCAGCCTGGGCAACATGGTGAAACCTCATCTCTACTGAAAATAATAAAAATTAGCTTGGCATGATGGTGCATGCCTGTAATTCCAGGTACTCAGGAGGCTGAGGCATGAGAATCACTTGAACCCAAGAGGCAGAGGAGGTTGCAACGAGATGAGATGGCACTCCAGCCTGGGTGACAGAGTGAGACTCAGTCTCCAAAAATAAAAATTAAAAAAAATAATATATTACATTCAACCAGGAAAAAGATGGTAAACCTGAACAGACCAATAATGAATTCCAAAATTGAATCAGAAAAAAAAAAAAATACCAACCTGAAAAAGCTCTGGACCACAAGGATTCACAGCTGAATTTAAACAGTTGTATAAAAGGAACAGGTTCCTGTCCTACTCAAATTATTCCAAAAAAATGAGGAGTGGGTCTTCCTAATCATTCTGAGGCCAGCATCATTTGAATTCCAAAACCTAACAGAGACACAATGAAAATAAAAATAAAAACTTGATAAATATAGATGAAAAAATTCTCAAAGAAAGACTAGCACACCAAATCCAGCAGCACATCACAAAGGTAATCCATCACAGTCAGGTAAGCTTTATTCCTGGGATGCAAGGTAGGTGCAACATACACAAATCAATAAATGTGATTTATCACATAAACAGAACTAAATATACAACTGACATGATTATCTCAGTGCACACAAAAAATACTTTAAATATAATTTAATTTCCTTTTATATTAAAAATCCTTAACAAACGAGGCATTAAAGGAATGTACCTAAAAATAATAAGTGCCATCTATGACACATCCAATGTCATACTGAATGACTAAAAGCTGGAAGCATTCCCTTTGAGAACTGAAACAAGAGAAGGATCCTTACTCTTATCATTCTTATTCAATGTAGTACTGGAAGTTATAGCCAGAGCAATTTGTAAAAAGAAAGAAATAGAAATATCCAAATAGAAAGAAATAAAATCAAACTCCCTCTATTTGCAAACAATGTGCTTTTACACCTGAAAAGTGCATAGTCTTCGCAAAAACTCCCAAACTTAATTTAAAAAAAAGGAAAAAAAAACTTCAGCAAAGTTTTAGTGTACACAAATTCAATGTAAAAAATCAATACCATTTCTAGACACTAAGAACATCCAAGTTGAGAGCCAAATAAAAAACACAATTTCATTCCCTATAGTCACAAAAAGAATAAAAGACCTAGGAACATACCTGACCATGGAGATGATATATATCCAAAATGAGAGTTAGAAAACACTAATAATAATTTTAAAAAATCAGAGACAACAAAAACAAATGGAATAGTATTCCATGCTCATTAATAGGAACAATCAATATTGTTAAAATCGTTACACTGCCCAAGACAGTTTAAAGATTTAATGATATTGCTATCAAACTACCAATAATATTTTCACAAAATTGGGAAAAATGATTCCAAAATTCATTTAGAATAACAAAAGATCTCAAAGAGCCAATACAGTCATAAATAGAAAGCAAAAAGCTAGTCATCACACAAATCTACTTGAAACTAAAATATGCAGCAATAATAACCAAAACATCATGGTACTGGTACAAAAACATACAAATAGACCAATGAAACTGGATAGACATTCCAGAAATAAAGTCACACACCTACAACCATCTGATATTTTACAAAATTGATAGTATCAAGCAATGGGTAACAGGCTCTCTATTCAATAAATTGTGTTGGGTTAGATATATACAGAAGTTTGAACCTGGACTCCTTTTTACAATATACAACAGTCAACTTATGTTGCATTAAAAACTTAACTGTAAAACCAAAAACTACAAAAACCCTGTAAGAAAACCTAGGAAATATTATTTAGGACCTATTTGGGCCCTAGAAAAGAGTTTATGATGTATTAAGACTCCAAAAGCAACTGTAAAACAAACAAAACTCGACAAGTGAGATCTGATTACAGAGTTTCCGCACAGCAAAAGAAACTATCAGCAGAATAAATGGACAACTTATAGAATGGGAGAAAATATTTGCAAACTATGCTTTAACAAAGGTCTAATACTCAAAATCTATTAGGAACCTAAACAATTAATAAGTTAAACACTCTATTAAATGGACAAAGAACATGAGAAACACATCTCAATAAAAATCATCTCTGTGGCCACGAAACACATGAAAAAGTACTCAATGTCATTAATCATTAGAGAAATGCAAATCAAAGCCACAATAAGGTAGCACCTCATACCAGGCTTCTCAAATAACTTAAAATAGAGCCACTTAACCTCTCTCTTCTCACATTTTACTATTAGCAGTCAGTAGAAACCAAGCAACTTCTGAAACACTTATTTTAGAATTTCCTAAGCTAAATATTTAATTCCTCACATGTTCTACCTTCCACAAAATGCTAGAACATAAACACAATTCAGTCAAGCTCTTTGTAACTTCATAACAAAGGTCACTGTTTCCCTAGTTTCCAATAACATGTTTTTCATTGCCGTTTATAATCTCCTCAGATTAGCTTTCAATGTCCATATTTCTACCATAATTTCAATCCATGTTTTTTTTTTTAATTCTCAGTGTAACCTCAAATTTCTCTCACAATATGTTAAGTGGGTTTTGAAGGCAAAAAAATAAAGGTAAGTTAAAGACAGAACTATTAAATATAAGGGAGTCAAAAATTGCTAGGATGGAAAAGTTAACTCTTTTTCTTGCCTCTAAAAAGGCAAATGATATTATAGTTAAAAAAAAAAACTACTTTTAAACAAAATATAATCCAAGGCACAGTTTTCTCACCTTGATTAGGTGGTACAGATATGAAGCCAAGGTTATTACTGTATAATCTTTAGCCAAGTTCAGAAATATTGATTTAAGGCAGTGCTTCATAGACCATATCACATAGAGAAAGGACTGTCACAAACAGACAAAAAACTCGCTAAGAATCTTAAGCCTGTTCTCTGCAAATTTTCTCTTTTAAATAATAGGCATCCTTTGGATCTAAGGACATTGCCCTACAGCATCCTGACAGGGATGCAAACAAGAAGTGACTCATTTCAAAGAGATCAGTGGAAGTGACTTTTGTCTACTAACCTGTTCTTCATTTCTTGCATGTATATCACCAAAATGGGCTTAAATGTCTATATTTCTATCAACGGTCTGGTCATGATTACTTAAATATTCTCTAAGAAGATGAAAGCTTTCTCTCCATTTCTCCTCCTTTCTGTCTGAGTCCACACTAGAACAGCCAGAGGCTGGAATCATCTCAACTCTTGGTCAGGAAGTTGGTCCTTACTGTCAGTAGGGACATTAACCATGGTTGTCACCCAAAACATTTTCATGTGGCTTTTAAATGTAAGCTATCAAATACATAATTTTATGATATGTACAACTCATTAATATTTTCTAATTTAACCAACATTGAATAAATAGTAGCATGATAAAATGTGTAACTCATGTAAAGATCATCTCATAAATGAAATATGCAGACAGGTAGAAGGAGATTTTTATGAGATTGTTTATAACTGATTAAGTAGCAAACACATGGTGCCCCTTCTTTATGAGAGTCAAGTGAAAACAAGAAAGTGTCATAAAGATGAGTTTTGATAATAAATGCCAAAGGCATTTTGTGAGCCATCATGAATTTTGTAATAAGAGAAATTTTTCTCTTTTAAAAGCTCATGAAATACAGTGTACATGTGTAAGTAAGCAATATTAGCATACCTAAGTATGGTTTGTAAGAAGAAGGAAAGTAATGCTTAACAATAATCTGAATAAAGGATAACATGATAATCTCAGATCTGAGAATGTGTTAAAAGAAGACATGGCTAAACCAGGAACTGATTTGACAGGCAAGAGTCACTATTCAATGCTGTGAAAACTTCACTGTGAGCCTGAATTTCCATATTATCCCACAGATAAGATACTGGAATTCTCAAGTTATAACTTGAGAATGATTATTTTAAAATATTAAGTAAAATAAATAATGAGAAATGTTTAAAGAATGTAAGCCACAATGTATTAGTCCATTCTCATGCTGCTGATAAAGACATACCTGAAACTGGATTATTTATGAAGAAAAAGGTGAATGGGTTTACAGTTCCATTAACTGTGAAGGACTCACAATTATGGTGAAATAGGAAAGGCATTTCTCACATGGCAGCAGACAAGAGAAAGAGAACTTGTGGAGGGAAACTCCCCTTTATAAAACCAACAGATGTCATGAGACTTATTCACTATCACAAGAACAGCACAGGAAAGACCTGCCCCCAAAATTCAACTACCTCCCACTGGGTCTCTACCATGACACATGAGAAATGGGAGCTATAATTCAAAATGAGATTTGGATGGGGACATACCCAAACCATATCACGTAATATAGATGCAAGTACAAGGACTATTACTGAAGCAGGCTTAGGTGATTAAGATCATGAACCCCCCACCCCAAATCAGTGAAAATATGGTCTGAATGTTGATCTTCCCACTTCATATGTATATATATATACACACACACACACACACACACACACACACACACACACACCAAGAAACACATAAAAGGTCACTTGACTAGGAAGTGGCAAGTGGCAAGTGAGGAAATATATATGTATCTGTGTTTTCTCATCAGTCAGATGGGGATCATGCGTGAACCAATCTCATAAGCAACTGCTGAGGATTAAATATTCTAAATAGATACAAAGGACTCAGAATAATTCCCAGGAATAAAGGGGATTTTATAATTGTTTTCAATAATTATTATTTGTGATTCATTCCTGGTCTTGTTCTTTTTAGTTTCTGAATTAAATTGAGTAATGGAAATAAATTCTACTTTGTATAATATCCCATAAGTCAAAGAGAAAATCTCAACCACCATTGAAATGTAAAAATGTAAAAAAAAAAAAAAAATCAGTGCAGATAGTTTTCTTGATACAATTTGGCAAAGGTTAGAGGGTCATTTTCCTCTAACATATTCTTTCTGTGAGGAACAAAATTTCCTTGCAGAGGACACAGGTTTATTTCAGTTTCAGAAATAACTACCCTATAGAGTAACAATTTACAGATTTACAAGTTTAAACAGTAAAAAATAATAAGCTTGCTAAATTACCCATTGGAGAAAACTCTTTCAAAATTTAGGAACATATCATCTATAAAGCACAAAGTTAACTTTAAAATGTTTAAGGCCCATGATAGTGCTCAATATGTTACAATAAAGAAACTATTAAAATCTCTCAGTCAGTTGATATCACATTACTGAGTGAGTGAATCATGCATAATTTCCTGCGAGCTAATAAAAGAATATTCCAGTTTCCACATGGAAGAATATTTTCTTAGAAGATGTAACTTTTTGTATTGTAATGATTAATTGCCTGAAGAATTTGTGCTTTAGGAAACTTCATTTTTTTACAGTTTGTCAATATTAATTCATTTGGAGAAATTGATGAGGAGATCTTTACAGATATTTTAAGGTAGATATTGGTCTACTTATCTATTGCAGCTTAAAAAATACAACACCAAAATTTAATGACATAAACATTTATTTTACTAATGAATATGCAACTTGGGAGGAATTCAGTAGCGATGGCTTATCATTGCTCTATTCTGCAAAAGCTGGAGGCCTCAAAGGCCAGGGACTGGAATTATTTAATCACTTGGCCAGGGATTTGATGTTGTCAGTAGGGACATTAGCTGAGGCTGAAAACACTACGATGTGGCTTCTCAATGTAGCCTCAAAACTTATACAATATGTTGACTGGTTTTCAAGGCAAACTAAACCAAGAAATAAAAATATGTTGAAGATAAAACTATTAAATATAAAGGAACTCAAAACTGCTAGGATAGAAAAGTAAACACTTTATGAAATTCCTGCCTTTCAAAAATGTAAATGATGCTATAGGTAAGAAATTCCTTTTACACAAAACCAAATCCAAGGCCATGCTCCCTCTCCTTGATTTGAGTGGTACAGGCAAATGAAGCCAAGGTTATTGCTCAAAAACCTTTAGCCAGGAACTCAGAAATATTTAAGGCAGTGGTTCATAGACTGTCTCATAAATATAGAAAAGACTCTTCCAAACAGACAAAAGGCCTTCTGAGAATCACAGGGCTGTTCTTTGCAAATCCTCTCTTTTAAATAGAAGAGCTCCTTTGGATTTAAGGACCTTGCTATACAGCAGTTTAACAGGGATGTCAACAAGAAGAGACTTATTTCAAAGAAATCAGTGGAAATGACTTATGTCTAATGTAATTGCTAGGGGTGGAAGAGGGCATCAGCAAACTATAAACAAAAGGCCAGATCAAACTCACTGAATATTTCTGTAGGTAAAAATTCATTCTCACATTGCCACACACCTTCATTTACATGCTGTTTATGGTTGTTTTTGTGCTAAAACCACAGAGCTGAATAATTGTGTCAGAGACCATATGGCTGCCAAAAGAGAAATATTTCTTTTCTGACCTTCACAGAAAAAAATGCTAACTCCTTTTACAGATTATTCACTCATTCATAAACAACTCAAACAGTTTTCAAATGAATGGTATTAGCGAGACTTAATAGGACCAGTACAGCACAAAATGGGGAGAAGCTTTTGGACTCTGCAATTTCCGTGGGCAGCAACAAGGATGATAAAACTAATGAACTGCAAACTAGGGGATAATTTTATATAAAATAAAGAGTAACTGAGATGATAAAAGAGAGGTCCAGAGGGTCGAGTCAAGAATTTGGAGAATGTTTCCAATGTTATAATTCTCCATAGCACTATATAATAATCGAGGAACTGACAGCATGTATCTGACTGAATTTCAGAATTGTCATGGTCAAGTCACTGACTATAGTGTTTCTGTTATATTTCTCCTTTATGCTGGGAAGTATATGGCAGGTATCCTATACCTAGTCCAACAGTGTATGGTGGGAGTGTGTGTGGAAAATGCTTGTTTTGTTATATTGTATGTTTTCTGAATGAGAAGGTTGATAAACTGAAGGAGTTACATTGAGACATCATAATATGAGACTGAGAAGAATCATCTATACCTGGATCTTATGTAGATAACAAAATTCTCAAGCCACTAAGCTAATCCAATGATGTCACAGGGTAAAGCATTGATGGGTTTGGGAACAATGGTGATTGTATTTTGCAAATATGAGAAACGTATGTTTTGTTTTTGGTGTGTCCAGAAGACAGTGACTGATACGGTGTGAATGTGTTCTCCGAAGTTTGTGCATTGGAAACTTACTCTCCAAAGCAACAGTGGCGGAATGTGGGCCTAATAAAAGGTAATTAGGTCATGAGGGATTTGCTCCCATTCATGAGTTAATGTCATTATTGCAGAAGTTGGTTCATTATCACAAGAATGTGTTTGTTATAAAAGTGATTTTGGCCACCACTCACTTGCTTGTGTTCTCTTGCTCTTCCTTCTGTTTTCCACCATTGGATGATGCAGCAAGATGGCCCTCACCAGATGGACATTGGACTTTCGACCCTCCAGAAATATAAGAAGTAAATCTTTGTTCTTTATGAATTACCTGGTCTCAGGTATTCTGGTATAGCAGCATAAAATAGACCAAGACATTGGCAAATTTAATTTTCAAAATGACTATAAAACTATTTTCAATTGCACATGCTTTTCCAGCCACTCCATAGTTTACTGAGAAAATGGAATCTGTGTCCTCTATTTTTTAATATGGATGTGCCTTTGTAACTACTTCTATAAATAGGATGTGTTAGAAATAACACTATGTGATTTTCTATGCTCAGTCATAAAAGATGATACAGGTTCTCACCAACTGCCCTGAATCCAAATTTGAAGAGCCCTCACGATAGCTTACACTATTTCATGAAGGTAAAGTTGTCACTAGCACCTCTCCTACTGATTGAGGAGAGACCACTTTGCTCATACCCTCACTAGATTGAACATGTGGAGGTTCTGGCTTATCCAGGGACTGTCACATAGAAGCCCAAAAAGTGACTCTGTCCAATGGGAAACTGGAAAATTATTTGCTATCCCCTTTTCTCAAGATAGATTATTCCAGCACAAAATGATTTCATGCATCTCCTGTGGAGACGTTTTAAGTGATTAGGCTAACGCATTTGGATTCTTGCAAAGCAATGTCCCACTCAGTAAGATTATTTTTTTATTTGCTCTCCCCCATTCCTTCTTTAGTTATCTGTTTTCTTTCTGTTTTACTCTCTGTTTTGTACCACTTGAAGAAAGTGGTAGCACATAAACTTTTCATTCAGAATCTGTTTCTTAGAGAACGCAGGGAATGAATAATCCTGGCTAAGATGATATCCTTGTCTCTAGAAGGCTAAAATTAGATTGATTAGTTATATATGTATGTATGTGTATGTATATACATACGCTCAAATAGCTAAAATTATATTAATTTTCTACATAGGTGTGGGGGGAGAGACTATTCAGTAAATATTGACCTGGAATAAAACTACTTAAATCCAAATCCCTACACTGTTTTTTAGACACTGTGTAATCTCCTGACCTAGTTTCCCTTTTGTTAAAAAACCATAATCATAATTTTTCATTTGGGACTCACAGAACACAGACTGCAACAGAGGAAGCTCTTAGAAATTTTTATATTCATTTATTGTTATTATTATTATTATGGAAAAATCATATTCTACATGCAGGTTTCACATACAGAAATAAAATTTATAAGGTTATTTTTAGAATATAACACTTTAAAAATTAATGGCATTGCATTAGTTATAAATATGTTAACTGCTATGCTAAATTAATCATGAGTTAAATACATTCATATATATAAGAACCTATGTGAAATCACATAATATGCAGATTGAATTAACTAACATATTTTTTAATAATGTGCTTGTCTGTCTTATATCTTTCATGGGTTTATTAAACTGCATTAATCAGTATTAAGGATAAACATATATTTAGTTATAGAGTTAGGCAATGCTACTAATTTTAGCTGCAAAAAAAAATGATTTTATTTCTTACAATCTCAATTCAATACTTTCTATGTATAATATACAAACCCCAAACTAAATTATTTTGTATTTACTAATAAGAATTTTTATTAAAGTGTTTTCTTCTATGGCTGTGTTATAAAAAATGTTAGTAGTTTTAATACTATTTTTATATATTTGGTATTCTTATTACTCATCTTTCATTCTTCTTCCATTCAGCTTAAGTTATCCTATTACAAATGACCCTGCTGTAGCAGTGGCTTGTGAAATAAAAGTTTATTTCCCACTCA